GTCCACATGTGGACCGAAAACGTGCAGTCCACATGTGGACTGCATGGTCGTCAATGGGTTAAGCGATCCCTTAGGGATGGAAAGCTTAGCTAGCTTGGTTAGATATCGATTGGGATTGGTTTCTCGGACCTTCTTTGGCACTGGACTACCTCCACCCAAAAGAAGTCCGCGTTCAGGTAAAAGAATTAGTTGATCTCCTCCTTTTCGATGGGATTATGTTAGTGGGCTAACTCCACCCGAAAGAACCCTCTTGTTCCCTACCCCCTTATTCCTTCAGGATTCCAGAGATGATATGGATGGGTTTGTCTGGGTCTGTCTCTACAGGCGATACCATTTGTGCAAATCCGCATTGAATACTACTTTTGCCTGGGTACTAATCGGACACATGGCTTTTCCAAGTGCAGCCATGAGCGCCCACTACCCACTCGACTATCCCTGTGCTCGGGAGAATTGTTTTTTTTTTTGAGTTCATTGAAAGCAATTCAGTATAAACTGACCTACCCTTATTGAATTTTTTATGTTTGGAAAAACTCCTCAAAGGCATCCCACGTATTGTACTTAGTTGAGCAACGCGGGTGAAGTGGGTAGTTGATTTCGGAAGGGACTGCTTTTTGACGATATTCACGAGGACCGGATACCTGAATCGATGGATTGACTTTGTTGCGTATTACTCCCTACAAACTGTTTTAGCATCTTTATAACCCGCAGAAATGGCCTCATAAGGGGGAGCAATCCCGTACAGGCTCATGCAGCCTGCCTGAGATGAGCTCACCCAGCCCCACGAAAACAGCATCGCCTACAAACTGGTATGTCCTTTCAGTTCGTTCTAGTTCTCAGTTCGTTAAAGTTTTTATAAAGCTCAGAAGTCTCCTATATCAATAGCAATGTTACCTTTCACTAAACTGGTTAGGCAAATTGTGAAAGAAGGGTGTTGCTTGAAGATATCGCAGATGTTCCCCGACATCACCAAGAAATCGTGCAGGAAGGCTCAAGCACAGGAACGTCTGGCCAAACTTGATGCCTGTTGCTGGATAGGAGTATGATCCTAAAATTCTGCACATATCAGAACTCACCAGTAATCTGGGTGAGTATTGCTAGAGCTTTCATCAGCAGTTGGGGATGCGCCACACAATCGTCCTGGACCGAATCCTAGCGGGACTGATTGATGGGTGATCAACGAGAAACGATTTTTTAAGAGGTTCTTTTCTAGGAGGATATCTTGTGAAGCAGGGTGAGGAGAATATCTCCAAGCGACAAAAGCAAGGAAGGCACCAGAGCGAGCAGATGCAGAGGCACCATATCACTCTTGCATGGCCCAGGGATCTGGTCTTGCAACGAACAAGACCTGGACTTTTATAAGAGTTTACCAAGACCAGTAAATCAATGAAAAAGGCTCGCCTGAACAGGAAAAAAGAGCAGTGTGTCGTACAGAAATCAGTTTTGGATATCCCTTTTACGAGCAAAATTTGATATAACGCGACTGCGTGACGCATCCCGCCGAGATCCTTAGACGAAGGCGTTTCATCTCCAAGAAATTAATAGCACGGCAATTTCCTATATCGCACCTAATGATGGGAAATTCGGCACGCTATGAATCAGCCAAAAGCCTGTATCATCGTCAAAGACCGTAACGCCTTTGCTGTGCCCTCTGTAGGAGTCCACACTTCCTGTAGGACTGTCGTCATTATACGCGAAGATGAAATTTTTCTGCAACAAAAGCATCTGTTGGAATGAACAAAATTCTCTCTACGTCCCTGTCCAGTCAGATGTCTGGCACCCTGGACTCTATCCCGTCCGAGCCGTTTGGAAATTGCCTGACCTGGCTGTTTTCGTAGAATTCCCGAAGTGTTGCACCAACTGCGGTCGTAGTAGCGGTGATTGGCAATGGTCCAAGAGTCCAATTACTGCGATCACCATCTGCATAGTAGAACTGTGGAGGTGATCGGGATGATGTTGGTGGTTTGTAGACGACGAACCTACAAAAGAGTTTTTCGAGTAGTCCTACCCCTTGCCCCATCTTGAGGATTTCCTGCTCCAAGCACCATTTTGTGACACACCGTCAACCTGTGTTGCTCTGCACTTAAAATCTTCTGAACGTTATTATTTTTTCCAGTGAATGCTTCTATTTTTTATGCCAATTTGACTGCTCTTTATCTTTTGCTATGGCTCTTTGAGTAGACTTTCCCAGCCACTTGGTGGCAAAATGGATTGTCCAATCATCTTCTCAGTAACCAGTTGCCGACTAATTCCTAGTTTTCAAGGTAATTCGATAGTGACTGGTGATGCTTCAATGAGTAAGGAATTGGAAGTCTGCTTCGCTTCATCCATTCTACCGTTGGAACAGTACCTACCGGTTGTTTGGTGGTCAATATTCTGATTGAGATTTTTTCGAGCTTTCTGGAATTTTCTATCTAATCGCTGTATAATGGCATCACCCACTTGTATGTACATCACATATCCGATCCCCCTTACTTGCTTACTTAACCCTATGATAGCGTAACTCTCTTCCCTTACTTGCCACATACTTCTACATGAAATCGAATCCGGCCACTCTGCTACTGTAGCTCATTGAATTTTGCGTCGATTAATTAGCTTTGAACCCTTTCTGAGCGATTCTGTGCCCCTTCAGAGCATGAAGTGGAGATTCACTCTTTTCAAGTGCTTGCGATAACATTAAATTTCCGTATCCTTGTGATTAGCGTACTCTTCCACTGGGAATCAAAGCTTCCCCTTTGAAGGGCGCGTCTGCGCGCGGTACGGTGAGGCGAGCGCGACGAGTATGGTTCTCCCCGAAAATCGCGTCGCGTTCGTCGTACCCGATCGCGCGGTGTTGCCCGCTAGTAAGGGAAGTGTCTTAAATGACAGAAATGAAGTCGAAAAAATTTGAAAAGTTCGTTGGCCATGCATGAATAATTTCCATTTCATGCTGCCTTTGAACACTTAAATTCCGGGTGGGAGAAGTGCAAACTAGCAAGGAACTTATTAACCAACACTCTGTGATTCAGCGGTTATAGGTCCCTTATGCAGGAGTGCTGATTGTTTTGCTCAAAATGTATCATGTATTTAACCCTCGTACGAAGCCATAGAGATGTGTTTGAGGCAGTTCACCACGAGGGCACAACTTTTGAGATCGACCTTTATGGCGAGGCATCTTGAGATCGGCCATACTGGCTCGCACCTCAGAAATGAACGACCAATGTCAAAAGTCTTAACCCTTTATCATTAAATGCAGGTTATACATCATTATCACTTAAAAAAAATTCACTCACCAATCCACTGGTTCACCATTCAGTCCACGACAGGTTATACGAGCTCCAGCATGTCCTATCAGAAGTAGAAGAACAATGGTTTGCTCCATGTAGAATGCTCGACCAATTGTCTGGTGGTTTTACGAGTGAGCCTGAAGATATTTAGACGTCCTTATCACTAATACGCATATCATCCGTGATTACCAATGGTTCTGTTAACAGCAGACCATTTGTAAACATAAAGGGCGGTAGATGAATTGCTGAGATTCGTTCACCATTTGAGATGCGATGATAAGCCAACTAATTACTCCGTGGGCTCACAGCAATAGAATTGAAGAGAAAACAAGAAGGAGGCAATAGGTCCTTTCTAACCATTCCATTTTTACTTATCAAATACTGTCTACTTCTGGAAAGAGAGGCCTCGATCTAACGGGTGCCCATCCCCTCAACCTCCTTCCCCCCTTCCTCAGCGAACGCCGCTTGAAGGCACATTCATTTTGGGAGACTTTTTTGAAAAGCGGAAGTGTTGGTGAAAAAGTGTATCGGCGGCGACTGGAACGAGAAAATCAGCAGAACTCGCGAAGTTTAAGGCTTCTCAAAATTAATAGATACAGAGATGAAGAGATCTCCACGAATGGACTGGTAGGAAAGGGGTATTTGGACGAGATTTCGGTAGTGTACAATTGCGTGAAGAACTTGCAGCAGCAATTCAGAATGTCAATGTTACTTCGCTTTGCCGCTATGGGACACTAATTGCTGTTTGGATTTTCAAAATGTGTGCTCCAGTGTGAATAGCGCCGCCTCTACAATGACGTTCAAACTCGTCCGCTTTTGGGTAACTATGACGGACCTTGGCTCCTCAATGCGCCCTATCTAGGCCATTTTTCTACCCGATCGCGCTCTATTTGGTATAATTGGGAGCCCACAATCCGTCGGAATCTCGGAAATAAATTTCGTGAACTATGCCTCTAGATGCATTCTTGAATTTCAAGTGGAGCTTAAGAACGTGGCTTTCTTTTAAAGCGCATAAATGCCACTACATTCTACATTACCCACAAGCATGGGTGATCCATGCTGGGGCTAATCGTGATTGCCTAAGACACACCCATAAACGGTTGCGATCGGCACATTGCTCATTTAGGATTGTTTGAAAGGGATTCCAGTGTCGTATTTCTTGTAGAGCGACCGAGTTAATCCATCAATCGGATGCCTTTTTGTTGTTTTTGTCAAGCATTAGTGATAAACACAATAAACAAGGAGCATGCGAAAAACCCGATTTTTGTTTTGAAATACACTGGTGTGCAAAACTTAGGGACGAAAGCAACTTTCGATCACTGAACCTCTGCCAGACGACAGAGCTCGACGAAATCTATACCGTACCAATAGAGGATCATTACGGTATTGCACAGGAAGTAACTGGCAGAAAATCGAAATAGGACTAGCAAATAAGGCATTTTTATTGAAAGGTATCGATTTCACATAGTTCCTCACAACTTATCTTAGTACTTCAAAAGAGCGACGCGTTTCCTAATAGGGTATGTGATCACCACGGACAGCAGTAAATGCTCTGCAATGCGATCCTATACTTTCTACGAGGTTGGAAATGAGTTATTGTGATAGGGCACTCCACTCCTCTATCAGCGCAACTGACAATTACTGGATGATCAGTGGTGCGTTTGAACGTGCTGTAATGCCTCTACCCAGTGCATCCTACACGTGCTCCATGGGATTCAGGTCGGGGGCACGGACAGGCCACTCCATTCGCTGGATAACCTCTTGTGTAAAGAGCTCTTCCACCTGAGATGTTCGATGCGGTCGCACATTGTTATCCATGAAAATGAATTCAGGGCTCACTGCAGCCCTGAAAGGATAGACATTAGGGAGGAGTTCCTTTT